ACCAGATTGGCATGTTGATAACTGTTTAAGCTGGGAGATGAGTACATGAGAGTTTGCTACATGATTCTATTTTTTTATAGACTCAAAATGTTCTGCAATGAAGTATGGGAATTCAATGAAACAAGACTGGCATGTTGATAACTGTGGAAGCTGAGAGATAGGTACATAAATTTCGGCAATGAGTAATTAAAAGAAGAAAATATATTTAGAGATGGCAGGATATAGAGTCCAGCATCTATTCTCCAATGACTGACTGCTACAGACACCAGAATTCTCAGATGTCTACAGGAGGCAAGTAACAGAAACAGGAATAGCACCGTCAACAGTTCCAACAGGGCCCCTGCCCTTGTGAATTTCAGTCTGGTGAGAGACAGAGACAGTAACCATACAATCGCACAAACACATGACTGCACACTGATGTGTATTAGAAAGGTAAAATAGACAAAGCACACAATAGCATGGCCTAGCCCAGTTTGGGGTTCAGGCAAGGTTTCATTTTGGGGTTCAGGCAAGGAGTCACTGAAGCAATCCTCCAAATATCTCAGTTCTTTCTCCTTCTGAGTACAAAGTGGGACTGAACTTCCTGGCCCCTGTGGTCAATGCAGCCTGTGACTAGTTTGGCAAGAGTGGAAGAGATATAAGGGTCATTCCTGGTGAGCATTACTCCCCTGTGTGAGACCTGCCAGAGTCTTTTTCCCCTCTACCACTGCCTATTGACAGTTCAGGTAGCGGCTGGTCCATGGACAAGGTTCTGGAACAAAGATGCAAAAGTATCATGGTGGCAGATCCCCTAGCCACCTGACAGGGGACATGTGGCAGGGGAAGGGAGTATTTCTGATGGTTTTAAGCCACTGCAAGTTTGAGGTTGTTCATTACTGCAAGTCAACTAAGCTTGTGCTGACTGATATAGAGGGCTTCCCTGAAGACGTGATTTTGGAGCTGAGACTTACAGGGTAGGTAGGAATTAGCCAAGGGGGATTAGAGTCATGGAGTATAAAAGAAAAGAACATTTCCAAAAGCAGAACCTCAGTGAACATAAATGATAAAAAATATTCACACACACACATCCCGCCGCCATGTGCTCAGAACTCGTCTAAGGACTTCACATTAACTTCTCACAACTATTGAGGGGGGATTATTATTATTGTCAGCACCATAAAACACATAAACAGTAATACCAGGCAGTCTGGCTCCAGAGTCTGTTTTCTTAGCTCTGAGTCACGCTGTCCTATGTCAGATTTCAGGACAAAAAGAAGGGCACTGTAGAGGGTCTAGTGTAGCTGAAGGAGAAGCCACAGAATGGGGTGGCCCAAAGACAGGCCAGAGAACCAAGAAAAGCCTGAGTACCAGGAGCTCTCAGAGATGCTGATCTATAAAGACAGGGATGCCAGGAGAGTGACAGGTCAGATTTCCCTTCTAAACAGATTTTCTTTTATAATTAAATCATGTACAAATGACAGAGGAGTCATATCCAGATCTATAAGAAACTTACAAGTCAAGAGAAAATATAAACAACCCAATACAAAAATGGGTAAAAGACTTGAACAGGCACACTTCACAAAAGATGTCCAAATAATCAATAAGCACATGAAAAGAGGCTCAGCCTAATTAGCCATCAGATACATGCAAATTAAAAGCACAGTAAAATGTCCTATACACCCAGAGAATGGAAAACCAAAGAAACAAAAGTAAAACAAACACAAGACCCCCAGACGATGGCACATAACTCAAGGGTATAGAACAGCCAGAATTCTCATACACTGCAGCTGGGAGTGTGGACTAGGAAGCCCCTCCCCCACCCCCCGCTTTGGAAAACTGGTGGTATCTATAGAAACTGAACCTACGTATACCCCATAACACAGAAAATCAGCTTCTGTCCCGCAGTGGTGTATACATGGATAAGAATGTGTATAAGTGTGCTGTTTGTAGTAGGCCCTAAAAAGGAAACAACTCAAATATCCATCAACAGCAAAATAAATAAATTATAGCATATTCATAAATAGAATATTGTACAACCAAAATAACTGAGCTATACCCACACACAACTGCATGGTTGCATCTCATTTTAAAAAGTTATGCAAAAGGAGCCAGATATAACAGAATACAATCTGAGTTACTCCATTTAAAGATAATTCAAATGCAGGTAAAATGAAATAATAATGTGAGATGTCAAAACAGCTCTTGTGGGATGAGTGGGGCGCAGTTTCTGAGATGGGACAAAGAAGCAACATCTTGATCTGGGTTGAGGTTCCATAGAAGTGTGCAATATGACCTTTTTTTTAATTTTAAAAATTGTTATAGCTTTAGGGGATACAAGTGCAGTCGTTACCTGCATATACTGCATGGTAGTGAAGTCTGGACTTTCAGTGTACCAAAATCACCTGAAGAGTGAACTTTGTACACAATAGGTAATTTATCAGCACTCAACCCTCTCCCACTGGTATGGTTTGGCTGTGTCCCCACCCAAATCTCATCTTGAATTGTAGCTCCCATAATCCCCATGTGTGGTGGGAGGGACTGGTGGGAGATCATAGAATCTCGGTGGTGGGTTTTTCCTGTTCTTGTGACAATGAATAAGTCTCACTCAATCTGATGATTCTATAAACGTCAGTTCCTCTGCACACGCCCTCTTGCCTGCCACCATGTAAGACCCGTCTTTGCTCCTCCTTTGCCTTCTGCCATGATTGTGAGGCCTCCCCAGCCACGTGGAACTGTGAGTCCATTGAACCTCTTTTTCTTTATAAATTACCCAATCTCTGGTATTTCTTTATTCGCAGAGTGAGAACAGACTAATACACCCACCCTCCCACCTGCTGGAGTCTCTAGTGTCTATTACCTCCTTACGTCCGTGTGTACCCACTGTTTAGCCCCCACTTGTAGTGAGAACATGCCGGGGTTTGACTTGCTGCTTCTGACTCATTTCACTTAGGTAATGGCCTCCCATTCTGTCCATGACTTTGTGACAATTCTTTGAACCCCTTTTTGGTGTGATATTACAGTTCAGTTTGTAAAAGAAACCACAAGACACCACTCTGGCTGCCATGTACAAAAGGATGGGGGACCATTTCAGAAGCTATGATGGTTGTCAGGTGAGAGGCAAGGTTGGCTTGGACCCAAGATGACCTAAGATGGCAAAGGGGATGTGTAGTACACCTGTATCCCAAACAGACCAGATGAACCAATCACAACATCCAAGTTTATGCGTACTGAACAGCCTTTTCCTTGTTGCTTTCAAGAGAGTATCTCATTTTTTACTCAGGTGATCTGGCCTTTAAGTAAAGGTTAGCCACCTTCTGGTTTCACCAATCAGAGAAGAATCATTTCATGTGGTTTTAAAATACACCGATTGGAACGCACACCCCTGGCGAGAAAAGAATTGCAAAGAAATCTGGAGCTTTTTTTTTTTTTTTTGAATAATCATATGTTAGCAATAAAGTTGGTATGGTTATTTTTTGAAAGATTGATAGATAGATAGATATGGCCAAAAAGCAACTATTTTAATTATTTTCAGGCTAAGAGAGAAAAGAAATGCCAATATAAAATCAAAGCAGGGCTGCACACAGTAGCTCATGCATGTCATCCCAGAACTGTCAAAGGCCAAAGCAGTTGGATCACCGGAGGTCAGAGTTCAAGACCCACCTGGCCAACATGGTGAAACCCCGTCTCTACTAAAAATACAAAAATTAGCTGGGTGTGGTGGCAGGTGCCTGTAATCCCAGCTACTCAGGAGGCTGAGGCAGGAGAATCACTTGAACTTGGGAAACAGAGGTTGCAGTGAGACAAGATCACATCACTGTACTCCAGTCTGGGTGACAAAGAGAGACTCCATCTCAAAAAAATAAAAGTAAAAATAGATTTTAAAACATCAAAGCAATCAAGTATCCATAGTCAGAACCTGATATTCAGGGTTTGGCTGGGACCCACCCCACCGCACTAGGATCCTGCCTAGAATAACTGCTTGTACCTGTTATTCTAGCTTCCACAGCCCTGCCCCTCCAGCCACCACCCCTCCCCCAGGAAACTCACTCATCCTGCAAACCTCCACTCCCCAAGCCTCCAGATTCTATATCTTTCATAAGTCCTCACCCTATGAAGTCACCACTTGTCATCAACTGTGTGTGTGTGTGAGTGTATGAGTGTGTGTATGTGTGTGTGTGTGAGTATATGTGTGTGTGTGTGTGTGAGTGTATGAGTGTATGTATGTGTGTGAGAGAGTGTGTATGTGTGTGTGTGAATGTGCATGAGATGACTTGCTGCCATAGGCCCCAGTCAGTGCCCTCACTACTATCACAGCCCTGAGATTTAGGATGCCTGGTACATGGCAGAAGCTCAATACATGCATACGGAGTGAATTTCTGAAGACATAATCATTGCTATGTTTACTGAGCCCTTATCATACATGGGGCTGTTTGTGAGTCTTCTCTTTGCATCCTCACAGAAATAAGAACAGCTCACATTTATTGAGTCCACACTCTATGCTGGGCCCCAGCCTGCAAACTTTGCATGTAATACCTCATACTCTTCACATCAATTCTAGACCATCTGTACTGCTCAGTTTAATGTGTCAACTTGGCTAGGCTCTAGTACCTAGTTATTCCACCAAGTACTAATGCAGGTGCTGCTGTGACGGTATTACAGTTACCATGCATTCGTGTCCACAGTCAGGGGACTTTAAGTAAAGATTATCCTTAATAATCTGGGGACCTCATGTGATCAATGGAAAGACCTCAATAGCAAAACTGAGGTTCGCTGAGGAAGATACAGTTTTGCCCTGGTCTCATCCACAGCCTCAGCTCCTGCCTGCAGGCCTCCAGCCTACCAGCCTGCCCTGCAATTTCAGACTTACTAAGCCAGACTCCACAGTCCCATAGCCAATCCCCAGATAAATATACATATATATATATATATAGTGATTCTGTTTATCTGGTATAACTCCTGTCAAGGCACCATATAAATTTATAAATGGGGACTCTGAGGAGGGGCAGGTTTCTAGAACTCACCCAAGGTCAGTATATGCTGGAGCTGGGATTCAGACCCAGGCAGTCAGGCTCCAGAATTGGCCCACTTAATGACCACAGCACTTGGTCTCCAGCGATGAGATCTTCCTTCCTTTCCTGCTGCTCTTCTTGATTAAAGAGAGGCGCCAGGGCCAGGGAGGGAGGCTGCAGAGAGGATTTTGGAAGTGAGTACTACAGCAAAAGTTGAGTTAGAAATTCCTGCCACAGTTAGATCTGGGTTGAGTTGGGTCAAGGGTGGCAATCAATAAGATTAATAAAGCATAACTTGAGTTTTTATTCCCCCTGTCGTGATGGATGAGGCCTTTGAAGCAACTAGCAGAGGCCTCACCCTGAGCATCCAAGAAAGATTTGTGGACACATTTATATGAAGGATCTCCTTCCAGCTCCCACAAGTGTTTAAGTTGACTTGCTTCAAACCAAGATCAAAGAACAGGCTGGAGATATTGTTTCACCGATTTGTATAAATCAGCCAGACAAACTGTGGCCTCGACAGCTACTGATGTTTCTCCAGTTGGAAGTAACTTGTTAAGAAACATGTCAGGCAGCCACAAAAATCTGAGTGCCTCCTTGGGAAAGAAACATCTAGAGGCATTGATCACTGGCCGCCTGACTTTACCTTAACTATTTCTGAAGCCGTAATTGAGAAAGCCCCAGGGTCCGCTTTTCATGTATCCTTCAACCTTTCAGAATGGGTTTGAGTGATCATTTTTAACACGAATGCCGGATGTTTGTGGAGTTTCCAAATGGTCACAGGCATGTTCTGTTTCAGCTTCACAACAATCATAGGAGGTGAGGGAGGGCAGCAGAGATTCCTCCCATCCTGCTAATGAGAAATCGAGGCTCAGGAGTGCCAAGGGTCCAACAGGGACACAGCTGGGGGATCTATTCCCAGCCACACACACTTCTCCCGGGTTTGTACATTCCCTTCTCACTTTGCTAATGTTTCCTGGGGACTTTCTCTATGCCTGGTCTTGGGCTGGATATTTTCACGGTCTCTTACACTCTTGAAATATTTCCTTATTTTGCCATAGAGTATGCTTTGAATGGTGGTAGTAGTGACAGAAGCTACTTCAGAAAATTCTACTAGTGAACATTCTCATACACACACACACACACACACACACACACACACACACACACACACACACAAACTCATGCCAGCCAGAGTCCAGGAGACTTGGGAATCACACAGAGAAGAGTCACCTCATTTCTCAGCTGTGCATCTGGGACTGCCTTCCATACTGCAGAGACTGTCTTTAGATCCATGTAAATTAATAACATCTGTCAATTTATCAATTTAGTGGAGCACTTAACAACAGCCAGCGTTTTTGATATACTAGCTCTTTCAATTCTTTAGATAACTGTCTCCATTATACAGACAAGGAAACAGAAACTGATGCTCAAGGTCCAGCACCTTCTCCAAAGTCGCACAGAAAACACGAGACAGAATGCTGACTCCAAAGCCCTGTTGTAGGTGCCTTTGTATGATTAAATTTGCTTCATAGCATTTGCTTTGCTTCATATCATTAATATATTAAACGACACATTGTTTTTACTGGAGAAAATTTATTTTTAAAAGAAGATGAACTGCTTCAGATGTGGAAAACTGGAAAGACCATCACTCCCATCCTCACTACTCCAATAAAAACCAAGACAGATAATTTAAAATTTTGCAACTTTTCTTTAATCTAGCAGAGACCTGAGTTTGCAAAGCAACCAGCTAGCCTGAAATGTAAGGAAATATAGGTACCTCCAAGGAGAGCCAGGACTTGAATATTTGCTTACCTGGAATAGATGCCATTGGATGCCGGTAGGAAAAAAAAATAGCTAGAATATTTAACAAATTGCTGAAGGCTGAGCCTGGACTGCTGAGCCTATATGGCACTTCTGAGAGCCACAGACGTAAGAGGAATTCACTCTGTATGCAGGCTTATTTCCATAGCTGAACTAAGTGCTCACAAAAAAGACAGGAGAGGGCGACATGAGAATACTGAGAAAACATTCCTTGCAGCATAGGACTGGAGGAGGGGAACAGAAACCACAGCAGAAAAAGCACAAAGCCTCACCTGGATCTCCCTAAAAACATCTAGGGGAAGGGCAATGAAACCTGCTGCCATGAGGACACTAATGAAAGTTATTGAAGCTGACTGAAGGAAACTACAACAGCAAATCCCCCTCACACTATTCCTGGTGTACCGTAGGGCAGGCAGGAATACATTCTAAGCCCAGACCAATAGCTGGGAGCTGGACAGAACCACAAAGTGCCTGGCTAAGACTGAGACACAGTCAACACAACAGAGAATATTCACCAACCTCTATTACTAGGCAAACAAACATGGAGTAGCAGGTAACAGTGGTCTGTTCCTGGGAGAGGGGCAAGAGGTGGAAGAGGGGCTCAATCTATGGCAACGCACAAAGGAAAACTGAAAGCTGAGGGTGGAGCAGATGTTGAAAAAAATCCTCTAAGTTAGTCTCCAACCTAAACTCAAACTAACACAGGAGGACTATGACGCTGATGGCACACTAGGAGCAACTATAGCCAACAAGGAAACCTAACACAGCTGAATTCCTAAATAGACCAACTCAACTGCCCATACTGAAGTCCTAACAGAAATAAAGACGTGCTCCATTCCCAGATGTTAAAACCTCGTTATCTATTGTCCTACACAAGATGTCTGGCTATCAATAAAAAAAATGTGAGGCATTCAAAGAAGTGAGGGGGAAAAAAAAAAACACCACCACACTGTCAAGAGACAAAAGAATCAACATAATTAGACACAGCTATGATACAGATGATGAAATTATTAGATAGGATTTAAAATAACTGATTAATGTTATAGACTGTAGTGGAAATAAGAACACCATGAATTATCACATGGGTAAGTTCAGCAGAGGAGTGAAACTATAAGAAAAAAAATCAAATGGAAATGCTTGAAATAAAAAGCACACTCATAAAGATAATGATTTTGATAGACTCATTAGTAAATTTAACACAGGTAAGGAAAGAATCGACTAACTTGAGCATAGGTGAATAGAAATTATTCAAGCTCAAAGAGGAAAAAGAGTTTTAAAAATAAGCAGAGTATCCAAGAATTGTGAGACAATAACAAATTGTCTAACAGAACGGTAATTGGAATTCCAGAATGAGAAGACAGAATGAGGCAGAAAAATATATTTGAATAATTATCCAATTGACATTCATAAAACACTCCATCCAAGTACACAAGAAACATTAACAACAACAACAAAAAAAAACGTTTTATGGGCTACAAAACCGATATTAATACATTAAAATAGTTGAAATTATACAAAAAGCATTTTTCAAAAGTAATGGCAAACACCAAACCACAGATCCAGGAAGCTCAGAGTACACCAACCAGGATAAATTAAACAAAAACAAACACCTAGAAATGGCCTATTCAAACTGCTGAATACTAAAGATAAAGAGAAAATCGTAAAGGTAGGCAGAGAAAAATGATACATATAGAGGAACAAAGATAATAATTACATCAGACTTCCCATGAAATGTTAGGCAAACCAGAAGACGAATGCTCGAACAACAACAAAAACTATCAACCCAAAATGTGTCCCAGACTGTAGGTTAAATCTAGCCCACTGCCTGTTTTTGTAAATAAAATTTTTTACTGGACAGAAGTCACACAAGTTCATGTATGTATTGTCTATGGCTGCTTTTACACTGTGACAGAGTCCAGAATTTGTGGCCTATAAGATCCAAATATTTACTATTTGACCCTTTACAGAAAAAAATTGTCAATTCCTAATCTAAAAGATAACTGACTTTCAAAAAAGGAGTGAAAACAAAAGGAGTAACAAGCTATTGTGCATTCACAGCATACATAAAATATGAATATAGGACACCAGTAACATAAGAGTGTTGGAGAAAAGAATAATTTGCATATTTTATAAGTTTCTTAGACTAGATATAAAGTAGTATCATATTATTTGAGGTTAGAAGTTTTAATTAAAGATGCGTATTGTAAAGCTGAAGTCAACAACTAAAAATTTTTCAAGAGATATAAATAATAATAATAATAAGCCATTAGTGAAGATAAAACAGAATTGTAAACAAAAGGAAGGAAATAATAAAGATAAGACACTAATAAAATTGAGAAAAGAAAATAATGAAACCCAAAGCTGCTACTTTGAAAAAAAATAATCAAACAGATAAACCTCTATCAAGACTAACCAGTGGAAAAAGACAACACAAACGATCAATATCAGGAGTAGAAGACTGAACATTGAACATCACTTTACAAAGAATAATCCTGTATCTATTAAGGAAATATAAATGGATAATTAAAACTTTATTTTTTGAGATGGAGTCTCTCTCTGTGACCCAGGCTGGAGCACAGTGGTGCAATCTGGGCTCACTGCAACCTCCGCCTCCTGGGTTCAAGTGATTCTCCTGCCTCAGCCTCCTGAGTAGCTGGGATTACAGGCACCTGACACCACGCTCAGCTAATTTTTGTATTTTTAGTAGAGATAGGGTTTCACCATGTTGGCGAGGCTGGTCTTAAACTCACGACCTCAGTTGATCCACCCACCTCAACCTCTTAAAGTGCTGGGATTATAGGTGTGAGCCACTGTGCCTGGCCAAAACGTTCTGAAAAAGAAATCTCTCACTAGCAGTCAGAACAGGAAGGAAGGAAGGGAGGAAGGGAGGAAGGGAGAGAGGGAGGGGAAGAATAAAAGAAAGAAAGAGAGAGAGAGTAAGAAATGGAAGGAAGGAAGGAAGCTAGCTCGCTCCAGGCCCAAATGGTGACACTGGTTATTTCTACAGAATATTTAAGAAAGAAATAATACTAATTTTACACACATTCTCCCAGAATACAAAAAAAAAAAAAAAAAAGCGCAATTCCAAACTTATTTTATGGAATCAATATAACCTTGATATCTAAACCAGACAAAAATATTATAAAATAAATACATATTATAAAAGAAAACTACAGACAAATAATCCTCATGAATATAGATAATATCCCCAACAAAATGCAAGCAAATCAAATCCACTATATATAAAAAGGATAGTACACTACAGCCAAGTGGGGTTTATTTCAAGAATGCAAGGATAGTCTGACATTCAAAAAAATCAGTCAATGTATTTTATTGTAATATCAATATTC